ATGACCTTTTCCAAACCACCGAGATCATAGTGGAGATCACTACCATGTTCCGTGAGAGGGCCTTGTTGGTTCCGCAGTATATGGCAGATGATGAAATGAAGAAGGTATGATACCATGATATGTTGAAGGATGAGATATGTGAGTTTGTGAGTGTGTTTAGCTGAAAGACATTGGATGGCATGATAGCTCGGGCTCGGGAGCAAGAGATTGATTTGGAGACAGTAAGGAAGAGAAAGGTGGTTCAAGCTCAAGTAGCTGAGCGCTTGGGGAACATGCTCAAGGTTGTAGATTCGAGATTGAGGGGCCAGAAGGGTCAGGGTCGATGCGGCCAGACGCACGAAGGAGCTTGTAGGGAGGGTGATTCTGGCTAATTCAAGTGCGGCAAGTGTAACATCCGTTTTTTCCAGGTATATTATTTTAATTGTTTAAGTTGAGAATTTTTGGAAGGACTCGACGAGTTGGTGCCTCAACTCATCGAGTATGGTCGCAGCTGATGACTAGGATTAATGAGTGGACTCGACGAGTCAGCGCTGGAGGTGGAAACCCTAGTTTTCTCGGGCCTGGGCCTATTTAAAGGCACTTATAGCCTCCTTGACACCCCCATAAGTGCCATTTGTCCCTTGAGAGATACCCTAGATTCGTTTGTGAGCAAGAAAGGGAAATAGGCTAATTTGAGGTCATTTCCTTGAGAAGAAGAACAAGGGTGATGCAAAGATCACGGAGGAGAGGTTGTGGGTCAATTTCATCTTCATTTCAAGCTTTAGATCTGATATAAGCTCTTGCCTTCATTGTGATTGAATAGATTTCCTTTGGTTGTGAAGTTAGGGAATATATCACCATTTTGATGGGTTTTGGGTGCATCCAAACCCTTTTTCGAGTTATTCTATAGATCTGGACCTTGTGAGGTCCAGAGAGCGAGAAATCAGGAAGCCATGATTGAGTAACCTTACCACTTTGAAGCTTTAATAGAGTCATAATGGTATATAGAGCAATATACACCATGCATGAACCCCAAGATCAGACCTTTAAGTGACTTTTGGATGCTAGAAGGCTAGATGTATGAGTTAGAGTTCCAGATATGACCTCAGGAGACCATTTGAGTGATGCAATGGAGACGAATCGCCGAGTCTATGAGATGACTCGACGAGTCGGATCGGGTTCAACCCAGGACCATTGACACGGAGATAACTCGTCGAGTTGGGGGTTAACTCGATGGGCTGAGTGAAACCCTGTGAGAACAGTGAGAAATACGATTGGACTCGGGGAGTCACATGGGTGAACTCGGCGAGTCAGGTCAACCTTGTCTGTTGACTTCGTGTGTTGATCAGTTAGGAACTTTTGGGAAATCTGGAGGGATAAAAGGGTCTTTTAACCATCCCAAGGGTCACAGAATGAGAAAAGATGGTTGTAGTTGGAAAGGGTCAAAGAGTGTTATTAATTGAGATGCTCGTTTAATGTGTTAGGTGAAGGCTAATCCAGATTATCGAGTGTGTATCTGAGGTGAATCTTCTCACTATACTTACCTTGAGTGGTAAACTACGTATGACCGGAGGGTCTTATGTGCCTACTCTGTGTTTAAGATATCATGTTATTTGTGTATTGAGATATTCTATTATTTCTTTGTGATATGTATGCTATGCTTATTTGAGTATTGAGTAGAGGGATCAGAGGATTCAACCTGAGTTATGGGACCAAAGGGTCCTACTCAGACATATTGACCAAAGGTTCTTATTGAGTTACAACCTCGAGTAGCTAATGAGTTGTGTGTGTGGTATTTTGGGGAACTCACTAAGCATTTATGCTTACCGTGTTATGTGTTATGTGTTTCAGGTACTTCCGAGGACTGCGGGAAGGCACCGACATGATTGTACACATGCATCAAGAAGGAGTGATGATCTGGGATTTTGAATTTTGTGGATAGTTATTACTTGAGATTTTTGGAAAGTTATGATATATGTTTTACATTAATTTAAAAATGAAAATTTTTGGTGGAAATTTTACGTTGTTACAGCAAGATTGGTCACTTCAACAAAGATTGCATTGTCACCACCACCACCACTCAGGGACCGGATCTGATTTTCTTTCAATGCAATCAAAAGGGCCGTAAAAAGGCTGATCATCTGAGTTTTGCAGCAGGGGGAGCGGTTATAGCACCTGCTCTGGTTACTTTGAGGATCACCAACAACCGTCAGGCCAAGGCAGAGGCGCTAACGGTGTGGAGTCGAGCTTTCCAGCTGACAACCGAGGAGGCTCAAGCAGTGCCAGATGTGGTTACTGGTATTTATTTTCTCCATATTTCATTTTTTGCTTTGATTTTTCTGCTTATTATATATATGATTGATGTTATAAAGGGACGTTCCTAGTGAATGTTGTTCTAGCTTTAGTTTTGTTTGATTTGGGTGCCACCCGATCGTTTGTATCTCTTGCGCTTAGCAAGAGATTTGGTGACACTCTAGCGGAGTTTGATTATCTGTTAGAGGTAGAGATTGCTGATGATCGTCCAGTTCGGGTGTCGAGGGTACATTAGGGTTGTGTTTTGGAGTTATTTGGTGAGCGGTATCTTATTGATTTGGTTCCTATTCCTTTGTGTGAGAGCAAGGTGATTTGGGGATGGATTGGTTGAGCCATAATGGGGAAATGATTGGTTGCGAGCACCAGTTAATTCGGGCTCGAGCCCCAAGTGAGGGAGAACTAGTTATTCATGGCGAGGGGTCTCAGTGTGGACTGGCTCTGTGTTCAGCTGCAAGAGTTAGGAGATGTCTACAACAAGGTTGTTCTAGTTTTATGGCTTACGTATTGGACACCAAAGTGGAGAAGAAGAGGATGATTGATGATGGTTCTAGTTTTATGGCTTACGTATTAGACACCAGCGACTGGCTCTCCGTTGCTTCCTCCTCCTCCCCCCCCCCCCCCCCTCTCTCTAACACACACACACACACACACACCTCTTTCTTGTATATTATGCTTCTTTATTTGTATCATAATTGTTTTATATATTTTTAATTGAGTAGGTCGAGTGGGTAAGAAAGAGGAGAAGAAAAATTGATGTGAAACTTACGTGACAATGAGTTGAGTGGGTTGAGATGAAACTACTTCCTAATATCATTTAGCCCTAAAAGTAGTTTCTAGAAAACTTTAATAAGAGTTTCGATAACAATTTGCTATGTAGTGTATAAAGAAAAATCAAACAAATATAGTGGGGACCTTTGCCTCTTGTATCGTGAATCATGAAAACCTTGTTGGCGACATACGTGATCAAATTTATAATTGCTAGAAATCTCGTTAAATGGTAATAGCAAACATCTTTTTTTTTCATATTTTTTAATAGCCCAAATAAAAAGCTACCACATTTTAAGGTAATTAACTTAAAAGTAATGAAAGATGAAATGTGGAGCAAGTGAATGCATTATATTTGTTCGAAACTTCCTGGTAAATTGACTAAATTCCATTTACCATTAGAGTCAACGATATAGTTTTATTGAAAATTGCATAATTACAACTGGGATTAGTTTGTGTAGAGTGAATTAAGGTCCACGTTTTGCCCTTTTGCTACTCAAAGGGTGACTTTAGGAGAGGCGAAAGTCTTGAACTCGTGTGCATTAAGTCGGGTTGATCGAGGGTTTTCAGGCTTTTATTATGATTATTATTAATTTATTACGTGACTTAATTTTGTACCTTTTTCTTGCCCTTGACTTTCTTGTCGATCCCATTTTGTGTCCCCCCTAACCTCATCTTGTTGTAATGAAATCCAAATTCACACGTTAATTAATTGAACTTTTTTAAAATCAACGGAGGGTACATGGAATAGGTTTAATGTTCCCTTTAAGTCAACATCTTTCAAATATAATTATAAATTGTTTAAAGATGAAAACATAGTCCGTACCTATTAATTCAAGTCTTGATTAGACAACCCCCTTTTTTTCTGACTTGAAAAAAAAAAAAAAAAAACATTAAGGGGATGGGTTTGAAACAAAAAATAAGTTGAGCGATGGATAGCTAAAGTAATATGAAACTTGAAGAAGATGTTGTGTAATTAGCAAAAGCTATTTATGTGTTGTGTAAAACAGGGACATAGAGTGTTGAGTTATAGTTGGGTTGTTTTTGTTAGACAGCCTAACTATATGCTACAAAAATGCAATGGACAGTTTGATTAAAATAGAATAATAGATTTAGTATTTTTATGGTTTATTTATAACTAAGAAAAAAGGTGAAATGAAACTGATCATTAGTTATTGACAAAATATATTATGGTTCACGTAGTTTTTCAAATTTAGTTTGATCGTTTCTAACTTATTTTTAAATAAGAAGATTGTTAATATGGTTTTTATTTCTTGTATCGTTCGTATAGAATAACTTTTATACATTATTATTATTTTTATTATTCATTTTTCTAATTACTGTTTAGGCTACCGGAGTACCCGTGTTATAGCCACACGTGAAGGAAGTAATGATCGTGAACACCATTCCCAGGTGGTGTTATTGCATGTTGTGTTATTGACTGTGATTTGCTATACATGGAATTACAGGCTTACTCCCTCTATCTCTCTCTTCTTCTCCTATTTCTCTATCTTAAATGTACAAACATATAATACATATAGTATAGGCATACAAAAATGACAAGCTTAGATAACCATTTCCTAGATATGTGGTTGTGAAGTAATAGTGATGTAACAATGTGATGTCAATATTTTTAGAGTCGTCAAGTTGTGACCACTCTTAATAGCCTTATATTATATTGGTATGTGTCATATCACAGTCACCACACTACTACGTTGTTATATCATTGTCACATTATTTTTCTACTCACCCTAGAAAACTAGTAGGTGACATAATACACCTTAAAACACTTTTATTTTTTTAAATTAATAAAATATAATTTAATAAATTATAATTATATAAAATTAATATAAAGAAAATACTTCATTAATTAAAAAATTTACACACTACATTAAAAACCTAAATTAAAACACATACTCAATATATATATATATATATATGATCTAATCATCATCACTAACCACGTCGTAATAATCATCACTAGAATCTCCTTCAAACATTTCCGACTCATCATCGGTAGAGTCGAACAACTCGTCTTCATAAAAACTGTCCACATTGGGATTTACTCGAACATTGAAGACATGTTCCACCAAATCCGCACGAAGGTTGTGGCGTCTGACTCGGTTGTATGCCTCCGCTCTGTTCGCCATGTACGCTTGTGTACCAATACCAACTCCTTCTACATTTGGTAAATCCCCATTTTCATTGTATTGACAAATCGTTTTCCCCTCATATTCTATAATCATATTATGCAATATAATGAACACATATTGTTGTTATATGTCTCCGGCTTAACTTTGTCTCTTTGAGGGATGAAAATGAAAGGTCTTATAATCACAACAAAGAAAACAATATTGTCAGTTGTCGTCCAGGAAGCACTCCTGGAACGTGGCTCTGACGATCAAGTCAATTGATCTCTTAGAAGGTGACAAAGAATTAGGTAAGAGTTTTAAGGGTAGCAATTTTTCGATCCCGTCTCTTGGAGGAGAGAGTACCCTTTTATACCTGTGATCGGGGGGACAAATCCACAACAATATCTTCTACCTTTTTAGGTTTGGCAGGGCCAGATGGCCTTTGATTGGTAGATCGTGCTCCGTAAGTGGTTGTTTGCTATTGGTGTAGGTTTACTAGGAGCGAAACCCTAAACGCTAGACCTATCACTCTGGGGGCAATTGGTATTATTTTGTGTTGACGCTAACCTTGGCGCTTGGGCACCAAGGAACGAATGCAGGATCGCGAGGGTGAGGGCGAGGACGTGTCGTTAGGCGTACGCTATCCTTTGCCTAAACCATCTAACAGATTGGCGGTTTCATTATGTTTGATGCATTCCTAGTAGGATACATTATCAAGTCCCCTAGGCTAGTAGACGTCAGTGTTTGATTAAGGTAGCTGAGTTGTTCTAGCTTAGATCTGAACACACATTTTGGTGGGGATGGTTCTTTGACAACTTCAGACGTGATGGAGGTGTCTGCACATATGGTTTTTATCGTCATACTTGCTCAAACTTCCCCTCCTGCATCTAAATCTTCCCTACATTTGTGTCAGTTCCTCTTTTACTTTTGCTTCTTCTCATTTCTGCTGCTTCTTTTCCCATTTTTCTCTCTGTTTCTGGTCTTTTCTTCTTTTTATTGTTTTCCGACGAATAATGGCTGGTCCTAATACCAGAATCGTTCCTTCTCCGAATGAGTTTTCTAGTCTTCGAGAGCAGTTTGGTTTCCTTCCTGAACACGATGTAGGATACCCTAGAAAGGGTTAATAATATCTCATCCGTCGGAAGGGAAAGTTGGAGTCCTTATTCCAACCTTCGAGGCTGGTCTAAGGATGCCAATGTCAGACTTTTTCGACGAGGTAATGCGTCAGTATGGCTTCAGCGTAGATGACTTGACTCCAAACCCTGTCAACAAGATTGTTGGTTTTGAACTCGTCTGTTGAACCCTTGGATTTTTGCCACAGTTTTGGGCGTTCAAAGCTCTCTTTAATTCTTCTACTCAGTCTGGTGCTCGGACCTTTTCCTAAAGGCAAGGTGTTTATGCCTTTCTCATTAACCAAAAAGCTCCGAAGAAGAATTGGCATGACCGATGGCTCTGGGTAAATCACAACCTTGTCAGTTTTGGCTATCCTCGTTTGACTACTTTTTTCCGATCGAGCACCAGAATTGTGGGGTGCCAGTACCACTGTGGCGCAAGCATTGAAGACTATTTGCATCAATGGCAAGGATTGGGAGGATCATATGTTGGTTGCTGTTGGGATGACCGCTGCTTGGAGGGTTCGAAGGATGATGCGTCAGTTCTATGTTGAGAAGGATGGTAAGTTCCTCTCTTTCCCTCCCCTTTTAGATTGTTGTTTTCTTGTGTGTTTTTCAGACTATGTTGGTCTGTTTCTCATTTGAAGGTCACGATAGGATCCTTCCCTTTGAGATGGTGTTGAAGGTTTGCTTTTAGGGCACATGCCAATACCGGGAAGTGCCCTTGGTTGAGACGCCCCCTCTACCAGTCAGTCTCGATTGTGCCTTGGCTTTTGCCGACCCTCCTGTCGCTTCTCCGTCGGGGTCTAGTCCTCCTGTTGGTTATGTGTTGATTGATTCCCCTGTCGGTGGTGTTTCCCGTGAGGGACCTTTGCTTTATGATACAGAAGAGGAAGAGGCGGTGGTCGGTCTTACTAGGCATAACACTCGTGCGACTTCCAAACGACGACTTTCCTGGATGGAGTTGCTGCTTACAGAGTCTGCCGAGGTTAGCTCCTCGGGTTGACGGCTTCTCAAAAGGTGAAACATGGACCTCCTTTTAAGGGAAGCCACTATAGTGGTTGACATTCCCGATGATGATACTTCGGAATAGTCAGAGGGGATGAGTGAATGGGCGACTGAACTGCCCCGTGAACCTAAAGAGGAGCCGGTGGAAACTGCTGCCTTAGGTGGGAGCGTTTTTTGTGCTGACTCATGCATTGTTTATGAAGGTGTTCCAAACTCACCAGTCTTGCTTCTGACTAGGGAGGGTACTGCCGAAGGTTTTGCTTCTGCTACTCCGGTAGCGTCGGCCATATATGTGCCAGGATAGGGGATAACCTGGGAATCTCGTCTTTCCTAGGACGCAGCGGAATACGATTGGGGTTCTCGTGCTACCATCGAGGCTTTGGAGCTCCTATCTAACTCACATCTTTTGAAAAGCCTTTTGTATGCAACTGCATAGGTTGGTTCGTACATGGTGGTGATTGCTTCTCACCTTCGTCATAGTGATTCTAGCTCAAGTGAGCTTGCTTTGATTAAAGCCAAGCGAGATGAACTGAAAGCAAGGTTGCTGGAGTTAGGGGGAGAAGCGGTCATTCGAAGGGTGCTATGATCTTTTAGCAGGGGCGAAAACATCTTTGGAGGACGAGGTGACTACTTTGGATGGGTCCGTGGTGCGCTTTTCTCAAAGGATCGAGGTTTTAGTGGAGGAGAATAGGGTGTTGGGGATCCAGGTAGATTGTGTTAATAAGCGGTTGGAGGAGGAGATCGAGGGGAGAAAGGCGGCAGAAGAAGATTTGGGGTGGTTGCTTCAGAAGGTCATTGTACGGGTGGTGTATAAGATTGTCGAGAGCGCTGAGTTTTTGTTGGGGGTGAAGCGAATGAAAATGGCGTGTGTGGCTGTCGGTGTGGAGAATGGTAAACAGGATATTCGGGAGCAGGTTGCCGCTAGGAAGTTTGTCTCCTGAGAACCAAACGTTACTGTGGACCATGCTCATATGATGCCTGCTAATGTAAAATATCTCATGGAGACAGACTTTTCCTCCTATCTTCACCTAGGCGAGCTGGACATAGGAGGCCTTCACCAATTATGCGATGATCTTGACACCGAATAGGGTCAGACTGAAGGCGACTCTGCTCACGCTGGACCCTCCTCCACCCCTCAGTAAATGATGGCTTTTCTCCTTTTTTGTTTTTTGTGATAGTATTTGTTGAACAATGTTTAAAACAATGTTTGATTTTCTTCCTTGTCCCTGCGTGGTCTTTTCCAAATCTTAGGGGTTGTCCAGGTTAGACAATTTGATCCCTTTGTTTTATGCGCACTAAGTTTTCTTTTTTAGTTTATCGTGTTTCTTCCTCTTTTTTTTTTTTTTTTTTTTTTTTTTTTTTTTTTTGTCTTGGATGGTTTGTGTTGATCATCTTTAGTTTGAGCTTTCCCCAGAGGTTAGTGTTGGCCTTTGAGGGTCAAGGTCATAGTTATCATTTGCTTGACAAGTTTTGGGGACCCAGAGCATTTGTTTTGACAGACTCGGCTCTCTCCCTTGGGCCAGTCTTTGTGAGTAGAGGCTTTGAGTAGTCTTTAGGTGTAAACTCTGGCTGGATCATTTTGTTAGGGAGTCCTTTCTACTTAAAATCCTTTGACTTGGGGTTTTTCTCTATGCCTTAGGTCAATGGTAGTTGTACTCCAACTTTAGTCATCCAAACAAGACCAATGTCATCACCTAAGGGTCTAAGAGCTTAGGTATTATGCATTTTGAGGGAAAGGTTATGATCCTTTAAGGCCTCTTACCTATCCTGATCAGGAGTTGTGGCTCTCTTGACCTTGTTGACATGTTTTTTAGGGAGAAGTGATGAGCCTTTGAGGCCTACGATTGTGTTTTTCTCAGTTGTTTTGTGTTAGGTGGCACGGATGATCAGTCCGTTTTTATTTTCCATTTGTACGAAAGTATGTTGATACTCGTTCGTTGCAAATTGTCTTTTGATTGCATATTTTTTGGTGTCTTGGAGACATCTACATCGTTAGATAAGTATCGGGAGTTTGATAGTTTTTGCTATGCTAGGTTTAGCTCTTGAACTATCTAGTTAGGGCATGATTATCCATTAGGAGTTTGATCACTTGGACCCTTTCCTTGATTCCCCCAAGATGAGACTATTGGTTTGGGATCTGGGGTTCCCAGGTCATCGAGACAAGTTCTTCTTCTTGGTCTTTCTTGGTTTGTGTCTTTCGACAGCTCGTGCCTACGAGCTCTCCAGCATTCGTGTTCGTGTGCGAGCCATGGTTGGCTATTTTTGGGATGGTCGTCTTTCGTAAAATGATTTTTAATTTTCTCCATTCTTCAACTTTGGTTGCCTGGTCATCACCTATTGGTGGTTTTGCCTCCTTATGCATAACTTTTTCTTTACTGGCTCTGTTTTTTGCAAGGTAATTGACTAGATGTCGTCTTGGGGGAAGCCTCTGCCAGTCGCGAACTCTTATGGTTGTACTGATTATCCTGTTCACATCATCTTTTTGGGGGCAGTTGCCTACCCTCACTACTCTGGCACTGACAGTTCCCTGGTTGTGTTTCCGGTCGAGCTCTGTGACTTCGTGCGTGTGTTCCCTCGTTTCCTGCTTGTCCATGCTCTGTGCCCTTGATCACAAATACATGTGGGTATATACAATGACACCCAACCTTGATGTATCAGGAGTTGTGACACTGTTTCCATCGCACCCTTCTTCCCTCGGGCTATTCATTTGGGGTTGGCGCCCTTTCTTCCTGCCTTGTGTGTGGGTATTTGTTTTTTTTCACTTGGCCATGTGGGTGGTGATTTTTGTTCTGTATCTCTTTCTTGGGATCTTTTGAGAAAATTATGTTAAGGGTATCGCCGATTGAGACTTCGATGCCATTGGCTGGCAACCGACACCCGACTCTGTTCTCGGGCCCTACAATTACGAAGATTTCCTCCTTTTTGATTGGTTGTTTGTTTGCTTCCTTTCGGGTTCTCATGTCTTTCCGCTCAGCTTCGAACTTTGATCTTAGAGTCTTTGCGATTTTCGTTAAGTCTCCACTCAGTTGCTTGTCTTCCACTTCCCTTTTGAGGATCGCACACTCTCCAGTGTCGTGGATTTTTCTCTTGTGGTATTTGCAATATTTGTTTTTCTCTTTTTCCATCCACTGAGGGGTTTTTCTACCGCGTGTACTTCCATCTTATGGCTCCTGGGCTCATCTTTAACGAATGAGCGGAATCTCCGAGATCAGTGTCTCAAATATATGATGTGTTTTTCATGGCTTCCATCAGGGAGGACTAATGACGTGCAGGTGGTGCAGCTGATAGAATGGTGCCAGGGTACCGGGAGCTGGTCCCCACATGTCGTTCCAATAGCTATGGCTGATTTTCTGTTTGTTGTGGTTCTACGTTTGGCACTCTTTGAGGTGCTGTGGTGGTAGTCGTGATCAAATTCTCCAATGTGATAGGCGGTAGTTGCCATAAACTAGCGATGAACTCCGTCATGAGGCCGACTGGTGGCGTCGTCGATGTCTGTGTGAGCGGCTGCCCTTCTAGTGTCGATGAACCGCTTCCACCGATGGACTACATTGATTTAGCGGGGCAAGCATCATCGCCTTCCTGCCGTGTCAGTCCTTTGTCCGCCATTTCTGGCACCTGATGTTGTGAAGCGGGTTGTGTCGTACTAGGTGTACGTCCAGATGGTGCCAATTATTGTGATTTGTCTCCGGCTTAACTCTGTCTCTTTGAGGGATGGAAATGAAAGGCCTGAGAATCACAACAAAGAAAACCAGATCGTCAGTCTCCATGCAGGTGGCTATCCCAAAACGAGGCTCCGATGATCAAGTCAATTGATCCCTTAGAAGGTAACAAAGAATTAGCTAAGCGTTTTAAGGGCATCAATTTTTTGATCCCTTCTCTTGGAGGAGAGGGGACCTTTTTATACTTGTGACCACCAAAACTATCTTCTACCTTTTTAGGTTTGGCTGGGACATGCCTTCAATTGGAAGATCATGCTCTACAAGTGGTTCTTTGCTATTGGTGTAGGGTTTCTAGGAGCGGCACCCTGAACGCCACACGTGTCGCTCTGGGGGGAAATTGGCACTATTTTGTGTTGACACTAACCTTGGTGATTGGGCGCTAAGGAACGAATGCGGGATCGCAAGGGCGAGGGCGAGGACGCGGCGTTAGGCATACACTGTCCTTTGCCCAAACCGTCTATCAGATTGACGGTTGCGTTATGTTTGGTGTATTCCTAGTGGGATACGTTGTCATATACATAATACTACTTATTCATTTTCGCTCCATAGATCGCGCCGATGTTGCGAGTATCTACCAATTTGTCACACCCCAAAACCGGAACGATAGAAATGTTTGGGGGTGGAGGACGTCATGTACAATATCACAACATAGATAATAGTAAACAAGAAAACAACATCATCCATTGCTTTAATAATATAATTTAATACAAGTGTGTTCTGTATAGTTTATAAGACACCAAAAATGTAAATCAAAATATAAGACGAGTATTGAATGCGCTCCATCTTCTCTAAAGCTGGTATCGGTACCTGTCTATTGATGACATGAGAGTACAAGTTATTCTGAAAGAGTTTGTCATCATTAAAGCTGGTGAGTTCATAAGTATTTTAGTGTCCTTGTTTGTATCAAAATGTTTGTAAGAGTGTTTGAAGTATGAGTTTGTAAACGTTTGTAGTAAAAGTATGTGAATGTTTGTAAAGGTTAGTAACTCCTAGAAAATCCTATATTTTCTACTAAAAGTAGCCTTCTACCAAGGCACGACTGTTTTGTATGTTTGTTTCTTGTAAAAGTGTATAATATTCCCAAGTGTAACTATCATATCAAAATATAGTTTGTACATTATTGTTTAAGTGAAGTGATCACAAAATGAATGTAAAGGGTAAATTAAGGTAGTACTGTAGTGTTGTATTATAGTAACTACTGTTGTACTAACTACCTTAAACTGGATTTATATTAAGGTATTATGTGATTAATTGTACCATGCTATCGACTATGAACACGACGATGTAAGACGTCGAAAGTAATGACGTTTGGCACCCGAAGACCTGGAGGTCCCACTATAGCTAGCAGAAAGGTGTAGGATAGTCAATCCAATATGGATCTATACGCAAACTCACACTCTCCCTCCAGGAGATTTTGGTTACAAATCGGGCCATGGTAGTGAAGACATGCCCTGAAACAGCGGATCTCATTTATGTTATAGTATACTTGTATATGTAATGTATGTACTAGTGTAGTGAATGTATTGAATCTCATCATAGTATCGTTGTATAGTTTCTCATAATAGTATCGTTGTATAGTTTCTCATAATAGTATCGTTGTATAGTTTCTCATTATAGTATAATTGTATAGTTTCTCATAATAGTAAGTATTGACTCATGAATGAACTGACTCTTTGTATGCTTCATTGAACTAGTAGTAGTATATCCCTAACTATACCTATTATAGTTAATAGTAGAATCGTTTGTATGACTGAATGTATTGAACTTAGATAAAAGTCTTTATATCTATACATATATACATAATATATAACTAAGGATCCAATGACACTAGGACAAACAACATGGTACTCTAAGTCCACAACCAAACAAGGAACATGAAATAAAGTGAGTTGGCAGTCCTAAGTCTATCAATCCTTACTTATATTACTATATATGCAATAGACATGTTTTTAACAAAATATAAGTTTAAAAACTGTAATAGAAATGGTTCGATATATAAAAGTGAGTTTGATAAGAAGTTTAACATGTAAAATAGTTTGATAAGCAGTCTGAAGTCATTTGTTTAGTAAAACAGTTTGAAAGTATAGTAAATCCTTATGTTTGATAGTTATTAATCACATGTGATTGATATAATAACTATGGTATTCAACTTGTATTCCCCCTATAAAAGCATTTAAAATCATTTAAAAGGTTGATTAAGGGGTATGAACTCACCTGTAGTGAGTGGATTGTATGGAAGTGTTGGACAAGGTGCTAGGTGTCAAGTGAAGACTTAAACACACAAAATGATCCTATTAACATATAAAGACATATGTATGCATCTAATTAGTGATTATAACACTAATTAAGTCAGTATAAACATCCTAAAGCATGGAAAACACTTTGGTTTAACTGTTAGAAGGCCATTTGGTTGCATCAAAGGGGTGTAAGGTATTGCATTTGAGTTTACGGCCCAAGGACCAAACCTCATGGAGTTTACGGCCTAGGGTTCACGAACCTAGTCGGTTTACGGCCGTAAACCCATGGCAAAATCCACAAACTTGAAGTTTATGGTCCGTAGCTCAATGGTGAAGGCTTTTAGTCCAAGTTCTAGGCATTAGGAAGGTGATTAAGGCAACAATGCACCCTTCTATAGAGTTTATGGCCTTGGGAGGTGTCCTGGCCGTAAAATCCCTTCCATTCAAGATTTCGTGATGTTTCTAAGGTGTAAATAGGTTCATTCTAGTATACCACAAGCTAGGACAAGAGTACTTACAATATAGAAGCTTGTTTGGGTGTTTAAGGTCCAAGAACACTAGTGTGTGTTCTTAGTGTTTTGAATAACACTTGAAGATCTAGGTAAAAGATAAGATTTCATGTATGAAATGGTGTACAACAACTAGATGAAGGGTTATAACAACAAATCAAAGGAAGAAACACCTACATTTTTGGAAAATTGGAAGAAAAGTGTTATGATACTTGAGAGACAATTGGTGTTCTTGAGCTTGGAAGTGAGAAATAGGGGAAATGAGGAGGAAACTCATGCTATATGCATGAGTTCACGACCAAGAGAGGGTTCACGGCCCAAACTCCTCATGTTTGGTCATGAACACATCATTAAGGTGTTGACTGTTTTAATTGTTACCCGATACTCCTTGAAACACTTCCTTTTATTCATTCGTTTGAAGAATTAATATTAAAAACACTCAAACGGACATTATACCGGCTAAAATTTAGCAGAAATGTGGTTGAATTTTATTTAAAGTGCTTAACTGTAGGGTTTGTACGCATGGAAATTTCAGGTTGTCACACAATTTCTCTTTAGAACACCAAAGGTTTGCTCGATATCATTCCTAGCAGATTCTTGGGCCGACTTAAACTTTATTCTCTTTTCACCATTTGGACATGAGAATGATTTCACAAAAGTAGTTAACTCAGGATATATCCCATTAATAAGGTAATATCCAAGCTTGTACAATGTTCCATTTGCCTGAAATGGATCATACGATTTCTCAAGGTAGATGTCCTTGAATATTGACTAGTGGTCTAGAATGTTGACACCGTTGTTGGAACCCGCTGGACCAAAAAATACACGCCATATATCCAAAGATCATACGACACTACTGGTTATAAATTTATTGTTGGAATTTTTTGATCACCTTGTAAAAATTGACCATGCCACACGTTAGGGCACATTGACCACCCCCAATGCATACCATCAATACTACCAAATATTTTGGGGAACCCATGCTTGTTTTCATGTGCTATAAAAAGTTGGTGGATGTCACTTATTGTAGGCTTTTGATAAATAGTGATCACAATAGAGAATAATCACAGCTCTAGAAAACTTGAATACACATTCCCTCGTCGTTCTCTTTGACATTCTCAAATACTAATCTATAACACCGGCATATATGGGCTAGTCAAACAAGCGGTAAAACGATATTTTGAAGGAAGATTATTTAGGATAAATAATCTTAACCAGAGTTATAGTATATGTGACAAGGATTCTGTACATATAAAGAACACCTAAATCTGACTTCGTGAGAGGAGGTTATGTTTTTTCTAATATTGCAGTGTAGTAGTATACGGCTTAGATACCGAAACTGGAACCGATCGATTTTTGGGAAAAATAATCTAAACGAGAGCTGAAGATCCCGTGAATACCTATTTGTCAATATAAAGACAATCGAGAATGAATGTCATATAAGAGAATTATTAATTTTTAACGGTTAAAAATCTAACCCTGTTAAAAATATAGCTTTAAAAATAAATTCAAAACTAGCTGACGAAGTCTAAAGGAAAGTTGTAGATCTCGTCGATTTCTACACATGGATATAAAACCCATAAAAAATAGTGCTCGCGTGAAGAAGATATGAATTTTATAGGGAACATTAATTCTTCACGCGGACCCACGCACGACGACAAAGTGTGCGTCGTGGACTTTCACTCCACCCAAAATGTGACATGTGGCACCATGCAGAGAACAACAACTCATCACTTCCAACAAAATGTGCGGCACGCAAGTGACCATATGCGCGATGTGCAATCCAAAATCAGCTATAAATAAGAGTCGAAATTTAGTCCATTCTCACACCCTTCAAATGTTTCTCTCCCGATTTCCTTCAATTTTAAAACCTTTCTCCCTTAAGTTTTTAGCCATTGAATCCCTACACTGTTTGATAGCCGACAATTAGGAGCTCTCAAGTCAGATTTATGACCGTTTAATTCCCATTTTTCATCAGTATACTTTGTAAGTTAAGCTATACTTATTTTTATTAAAGTGTAACTTTTAATTATAGTTATAGTCGTAATTGTGAACCTATAATTAAGATTTATCAGTAATTCCACGTCATTATATTGATTAATCTACTTATGGGAATGATATCTTGGCTGGATTTAGTGAGGTGTTTAAAGTGGG